GGCACCCTTATTTTAGATTTCCGACCCCAAGTATCCTATATCAAAATACTCCCCTACGCACCACCTACACGCTCCCAAACGGTGGCAGGTACTATAGGAATCACCCTGTATAAAAGTACATGGGTACAATCACCAGGTGCCCACAAATAATGCAAAACCAGATTAAGACATACGTAACATCATCAACAAATACAAAAATAAATCACCTGAATCACAGATTAACCACTTGTAGTTAATTTGTGCCTGAATTAATGCAACAAGAAGAAGCACTGAACACCAAAAAACAAGTGCAGCTTTCACTATTTTTTCTTGAGTTCACACGCTGCTCTCCCACCGGGCGATCAAGTTTGCCCCACAACTGAAACTGCTTCTATTTCATTCTTAATAAGTAAATTAGGCTTTAAATAATAAGATATGATACAAGTTATTTGTATGATGATGTGCCTTATAAACGCGTTTGCGTCTTTTTTCACAAACATATGAAATGTCGAAATATGGGAAATTTTGTAGTAAGCACGCTTTTTATTACGAGGTATCTCTAAAAATGTAACATTTGCGAATAAGTTAATTAAATAAAGAAGAACTTCTTTACCCCAGATGTTGATTCGCAAGTAACGTAGTCACGAGTGAATTAACATTCACAAGATGGTCTCTCGTTATCGTCGTGATAGGTAATATAAATATTTGACTTGACTAAGAGTAGCCAAAACTGTTATTTACTCATTGAACAGAAAACGTGGAAACACTTAGGAGTAGTTAGGGCCTAGGACAGAGAAAGTGCCTGCAATATGCACCCAACTGTGTTGGAAAATACGCTAAAAACGAGGGCATATTACCAAACTATGCCGTCAACGAAGGAAGAAACTAATAAGTCAATCTAAAAAAGACCTTAGTACCAAAATAAGTAATAATGAGGGCCGCTTGAATAGTCGCACTCGCATGCATGGGATGCATGCAGATAAATTAAATAGAAATGTTAAGGAAGTAAGAAATAATCTTAAGTTAGTATCATTTTAAAACAGAATAACGATTAAAAAATGGGTTTTACGCAATGGTGCTAAACGAGATTGCTTCACCTGTCGATTACTGATTGGGTAAATAATTTGCAAATAGTTCAAAAGTCAAATGGCAAATTGCGAATCCGTCCCAAACCAAGGCATAAACATTACTTAATACTGGCGATTATAAAATGTAATGTTTATTTAATTTTATGTTTATGTAATACTCATGTTTTTATAGTAATTGATCTTACACGTAGGTTTTGGCACATAACATTGGACCAAACCTTTATAAGTAGAACCATTGAATAAAAACACAATTTACTATTTAACATTAGAACGTATAAAGGGTGTCAAAATTAGAGTCCATCTTTCTTAAACTTTAATCCAGATGTTTAAAAGTCCGTAAATCTTTTTTTAGTCATTGAGTTCTGTAACGAGTTCCGGCTTGGCACCGGCCTCTCCAGCATTTACAGTAGATAGAGTATAATATCTCATAATTAGGCCTACACGTGCCCAAAATTGTTGACTAGGAAGTGCGTGACAAGATTTAACTGACTGAAAGTTCTGGGGAAAGCAACATTTCTATTTTCTCGTGAACTATTCATGGGAATTGCTTTCCTTGACCATTCGCCTATTATAGAGTTACGTTTCTGGTACCATTCCGGAAATTATTTCATTTGTTAACTAAGCAAATTCTTGGGATATTGAAAAAAAAATCCACAGTCCGTCGATTTGCAAGAATCATTGGGACAATTTTTGGAAAAGGTTGTTTTAAGGTTCCATGCATCTATAAAAAAAATTAAGAAAGCTCTGGGAGTCACCCAGTTTGAAAGACAAATCATCGTTTTTTTAACTTGTTTATTTAGTTAATCGATCACTATGAAACTTATGGCGATCGCGTTTGTCATATTGCTTTGTTATCAAAAGAAGTGACCAAATTTCGAAAGAATCGAATAAATTTTACTTAGTAATGACAGATTTAGTGTTTAAATCTGTGGTAATAACAAATTGTTCATTTTCGGGATCACTTTTTTTTCTATTTTTCATAAAAAAACAATAACATTTGAAAATGAACGTTCCATACCAACTGTATCTTATAGAAAACTCACAAGGTAGCGAAAAGAAATTTGAAAAAAGTTAAGCCGTTTTCTCGTAATCGCAAAGACTGACGGGACAGACGGCCTAATCGGACTGGCATGACGAAATTAAAACGCAAAACCTTTTTTTAAATTTATTGTAGAGTGCTTAGTCACGATTTCTGTTCTCTGGTGAAAATAGCTCCCTACTTTCCGGAAATTTGAAATCTTCTTCCACAAAACGTTCATTTCTTTTTGAATACAGCCACCTTAAACAAAGAAATGAACTGTTGTACTGCTAAAAATATAAACTTCAACTTACAAATACAACAAAATTGCAGGTATCGTCAGCGTGATTCCTAGAACATAAAATGACGCAGAAAATATGTTAAGTGTTGCTTTATAAAGTGCGCTGTACATAGGTACGTATAACAAGATTGTTAAAGATTCGGCGATGCCAAATAAAGAGTTCACTTTTCCTTAAAAATATATGATCACAATTAATTACACAAGAGTTAATACACCTACCCAAGTCTTTCTCTTCAACCAACTTTGTTATTATCGAACGAGATGCTACAAATGAGGTTCCATTAAATGCTTCTATTAGCGCACCTTTAAAAAAACGGTAAAAAGTGTGAACAATGTAGTACACTGGGTACTCTACCTATATAAAATACAAATGACTTCTCCGCCAGCATAAAAACAATTCCTCCACATATTTTACTTACACTGGAAATTGCTCCCAATACTGCATCATCAAACTTCAACCATTTTGAAAATATCAGTATTGCGGCGAAATTTCCTATAAAAAAGTTTACAATGTCGTTCTTCGTACGATCTCTTATACAACTGAACTGTTTGATTTAAAACGAACTCGTTTCGCGTTTAGCACGTAGTAGGTACCTACTCACCTGTTAGATGAGCCACGGAAGTATAACCGAAATATATGCTACAATCAATTTCGTTCCAATTAAATTTGAGTCTTGTATACAAATAAAGAAGTGCACCTTCTCCTACAACATGCGTTTAGATTTATAGAGAAACAGTTGGTTAGCATAAAAAAACTGCTATAGCTTACCGGCGAAGGGTCCTAGCACAAAGATTGCCAGAAGCACTATTACGAAAATCTGTTTCCTTTGTATGCCACGATTTGGTTGGATAAGGAAGTGGAAAGTAGACAGAGTCTTTTTAATATTAACAATGTCTTTCATTAGTTCGTATTTCGTACGAGTTTTTTTCTCAATGGGCGCCTCTTCCTTTACTTTGTAATATGCATACAGTCCTGCTAATGCATACAAAACTAGCGACAACGAAAATACTCCATAAAATCCTATGCCTTTATAAATCACGCCGCTTAATGCACTCCCAATTGTTACACATATGCAGAATAAAGTATGCACAATTCCTATTCTAAATGTCCTATCCTCACTACTACTAATGGCAGAGACGTGCGTGAACACGCCAAGAAATAACATATTCGAACCTCCTGTAATTGCGGTGGGAAGAACTTCGACAAGAGTATTCACTTCCATTGGCAATTCGTAAAAATAATAAGTGCAGAAGATGAATGCAATGTTGGTAATTAGTTCACCGATAATAGGTAAAAGCAGTAAAATCTTCCTAGTCTTATTACGATCACTCCACGATCCCAAAAATGGTAATAAAATCGCAGGAAAAACACCATATACCACAAATTTCCACACGTACGCTGCAGCAACGACCTTCTGCACGGCCACTTCATCGTCATCGTTGTATCCTGAACGGTCCCGTTGGTGAATAGCATCACATACTGAGTCACTCATGTTAAGATTAACTCTGCAAGACTTTTCCAAACTTAAATTCTGTATTGTAAGTGCGGACATGTGAAATGGTAACATGAACAGTATTAAAACTGGTTCAACTGTAATTCCTTTCCAAATTTTGCACAAAACGTCCCTGACATGTCTCCTTGGTGTTACTTTCAACTTTGCATCCATTAGGGTCCCTTCCATTTCGCTAGAAAATTAGTGAATTAAGATGACGTGCTGATATTGCCTTACTCTGTGAGACGTGATCAGTTAGTCCCCTTTAGGACACAAATGGTTCGTTGTAAAAATTGAAGATTTTTACGATGTTATAAAATAATTGGTTGGTGTGCTATTTATTTAAATAGCGATATCTAAGAGTTTACTTACCTACCTACACGTACTACACTTTTTATGCAACTAAGCTCTTTACTACTTGATTAATAATAATCAATACCATTCAACTAGAAATTATATTATGTGTCGATTTATTTATCTTTTTTATCAGTACTATTCCCTCACGTTTATCGTAGAACAATATGTCTACTGTATTAAGTACTATCGTCTTGTTTAAACATACTGAACAACTGATTAGTTAGGTAAGTACATACAGAAGCAGAATAAATAATAATAATAAAAATTATTATAACCAGAACTATAAATAACAAACGCTATTAGTTAATAAAGACGTCCGTTCAGATCTATTCGTACGATGTTCCTATCAGTAAGGCTCATTTATTGTGCATCGCGTATAATAAAACGTACCTACTGTTATTTGAATAGCTATTATCTCACAAATCAAGCACAAAGAAAGTAGACGAATAAACAAAGTGAGAAAATGTTAATTCAAGTTGAGTGATATAAATCTGGTCAGCGCATACAGGTAGGCATTAAATCGCTCGCCTCTCTGTTATTTTATAATTTGTATTAGAGTTTGGCACTCACTCACACTATCGTTCTTTATCCAAACGGCCTAGCAGTATTCCGGTGAACCATTTATTCGCATCAGAAAAGCTTATCCCAGAAATGAAATTATATTGTTATCGCTAGGACCTGTTTTGTGAAATAATGATGCCCGAAATGAAAACTCGCAGAAGCGATTTTTTCTGAAATATCGGTAAAATAATCAGATTAGTTAAAGAACCATTAGTGATGCCGCCGTGAAGAGACCAAGTCTCGTCTCGTAGACGAGACGAGACTGACCATGAGCACAGACCATACCATGAGTCTCGGCGAGCGTGTCGACGAGACTCTCGTTTGGTCTCGAAGTCTTTTTTCTATTTATTTGTACTGTTTTTTTAAATGTTTAATCAGGAGAATCCATTCAAGTAGCACGAATAATTTTGTCTAATATGACGTGTACAAAATTTAGTGCCAATCGGTTCAGCCGTTTAGCCGGAAATGAGAGTACAGGCGGACCGACAGATCGACATCATCGAAATATTGTTTGATACCGGATTCCTGGTGCTTCCAAACGTGCATTTCCATCAAAAAAGTGGGTGGTCATTTTTTACCTCAATGCAATACCTCCCTTACTAACGTGCGGGTAGTAAAAAATTACTTACAGGTAATTGATTCGGTCCTGTGCTTTATCTGAAATCCCAAAATTGAGAATGAGGCATTGCCACTTTACTAATAAAAAAGTTTTTGTTAATCATTTTTATAAGAACGATCGCACAAAGAAACTATAAAATGTAAAATATAAGGTATAGGTATGTATAAAATAAAAAATGTGTGAGTGACCTTTTATTCATATCACAGTTTAGTAGAAACAATTTATATCATATATTTATGTTCCAGCAACCATTTGTGGAAGACTTTGAGGACTTTGGTATACTTTTGGAGTTTCGTCTAATGCGTAATGTTCGATTCCACCGCTATGCACTTCCGACACAAACCGTTCGTTCCTTTTGGAGTACAGCCAGCTTAAATTGTGAAGTAATGTTAAACTTTTTAATTATAGCCCAACCCAGCATACATTAGATATTAGACGGTCCCAGAATTGGATGTAGAAAGGAGTACAGTCTGCAGTAATAGTAACTATACCTGTTTTTTTAGGGGTTAGTTTAATACTCATGACCGTCTGCCTCTCACTCGACAATTCTGGATGTACACTGGTCGCAGTTATTAAAACAAGACTAGGATTATCATTGCCGAGGTTAATGTTAAATTCGATACTATAGTCCAACTGAAGTACGGGTCTTTTGGGAATACAGTAAGTGCTTACTATTCTTATAGAATAAGAGAACAGTACTGGACAATTAATACGAGCAATTTAAGTCAGGTACACTTGGCAAAATGGTTACAATGACAACGGTATTTGTAGATGAGTAAAGATAGTAAGACATTTAGCCTCTAACAGCACTCCCTTTATTCCCATAATTTGAACCCAATACAATCAAGGAATCAGGAGCGGACTGACCCGGGGGGGCGGGTGGCGGTTGCCATCTGGCCTGTAGATCATAATGGCCCGTTGGAAATTTATAAGTATGTGCTGTAGGTATTTAGTTTCTTGCACTATTAATAAATTATTAACACGTTTCTCTAATTGGGGTTGATGTTAGGTTGTTAAAAAATTCTGTTTTAATTGAAGTGTTTTACAATGAATTTATCATTTTTTTGTCGTAGCATGAAAGTGCTGAAATACAATGATAGGCGACGCACCTCGTGTGGATTGTACATTTTGTTACTTTTAATTATCAGCTGCAATTTAAAAAAAACTGTATGGTAATTTTCTATAAGAAAACTTTTTTTCCGGGTCGATCTGAGACAATTTTTTCTTCGGGGCTCAAAAAAAGGCAGTGTATAACCTTCCTTTTTTACCAAAAATCGACTGCACCAAAATTTCTCGGGAAAACACTTTTCTTATTAATTTTGGTGCGTAGAATCCAAAACAATTCGTACTTTTTCGATCAGACTTCTCAATCAAAAGTTATAGAGTAGAACCAATTTCGAAAGAAAATTCAAAGGGCTGTAACTTTTAAACTAGTAGCCCAATCTTGGAACTGTTTGAAATTATGGATTCTACAGGCCACATTCTATAAGAAATTTTTTTTTCCGGGTCGATCTGAGACAATTTTTTTTCGGGGCTCAAAATTATTAACACGTTTCTCTAATTGGGGTTAATGTTAGGTTGTTAAATAAATGAAGTGTTTTACAATGAATTTATCATTTTTTGTCGTAGCATGAAAGTGCTGAAATACAATTATAGGCGACGCACCTCGTGTGGATTGTATATTTTGTTTTAATTATCAGCTGCAATTTTTAAAAAAACTGTATGGGAATTGATTTTCGAGAAAGGAGTACTGTTTTTGTGGTGCACCCCCCCCCCCCGCGCCAATACTTTAATGGCCCGTAACCTATGCAATTCCACCTGGCCGTTAAGTACCCGGTCCGCCCCTGCAAGGAATGTAGAACGTTATAAGTACTACGTAGAAACTTACATGTACATTATTATCGGCGGGATGGTAAGACAAGACCCGACGACAAAAAAGGTTCCTGGGAAAATCTGAATGGTAGACTTATAGAGCGCACTAAAGGCAGGTCCATATATCAAAGTTGTAATTGCTTCCGCCATCCCGAATAAGGAATTCACTTTACCTTAAAACAGTCAGAGTTAGGAAAATATTTTCAAAACTGATTTATGTAATGAACAGTGGAACATAAAATGTTGGTGCGAATTCAGAAACTTTGCACTCTACATCGGTCTGTCAGTCTGTATATTTTCAAAAATTCGAAAAGTTCAATCTCTATACTATGCTATCTTCTAAATGAAAAAATCATTATTATTAAGAAGCGAAATATTTGATACGTCCTATCTTAGTGAAACAGGATTTTCTGCTGTCGTTGTGTAAAAACTGACTGAACTCTATAAACTTTAAAATTGATATTCTGAAGGATAAATGATGATGATGCGATGTATGAAGTTCTCCATTTTAGGTGAGCCCGGTGCTGGTTATGATTGAGGGTAACGATACTTACCCTCAATAAAATCATGATGAATTGAAAATTTCCAACCCCTTAATGTCGCCTTTTCCAACGACAGTAATCATTAAAATATAGTGTCATGTTATTCAGCAACTTGGAATGATTTCATCAAATAGTAATTAAACTAAGATCTCTTTCCTGTTTTATTTTTTCAGTTTATCAGTATATTTTCCATTGCATATTTGCTTACCTAAATCTTGTTCCAAGACAAGCTTTGTAATGATCGATCTGGATGCAGCAAATGCGGTACCATTGAATACCTCTGCAAGCGTTCCTATAATTATATCGTAAAAAGGTATAGTTTATTGAAATACTACTTATACCCAAATAAAATACTAAAGTCGTCTGTGCGAAGATGTATACTATTCCACCACCGATTTTGCTAACGCTCGAAATAATACCTAAGATCGCATCATCGAATTTTAACCATTTCGAAAATATTAATATCGCGAAGGAGTTCCCTAAAACATACACCTAGACAATGAATTCTCTGTGGTACGGTACGCCCAATTTTGGAATAAATGCACTATTTTTTAGCAATGACGATTTATGCTTTATTTGGTGAGTTGGGCATATAATAATCCACTATGTTCATTTTATCATACAATCATTATTATAAGCTGGTATGATAAAACCAGAGCGCGTTGGCTTGTATTTGGTCAAAGTAATAACATCTTATATATAATAGCTGTAAATAAAGTGATACATAAAATGGGAGAGGTAGTATAAACTAAATTGTCTATAAAACAGTGTTTAGATATAAATTATGTAGGCTAACCCTTAACTTGTCTTTATATGAGAAAGATAATGATCAACCATAAAAATACATTTGACGTTGATGGATTGAAATAGGGAACTATTAATAGAAGTCTTTAAAATTGTAAAAAGAACATTTGTCCAAAAATAGATCATATAAATTCAAAACTCAATATAAAAAGAGTTTAACGACGTAGGTATATACGTACGACTGGAGGGCGGTTTGTTTAGTTAACTTTTAGAAAACCCCCTTTAATAAGTTTATGTGACAATGCTTCCAGAAACAAACAAATTAAAAAATTCACCTTTTTATAACATTAAGATTTCTTTTTCTTGTCTTTTCTTCTTAATTATTGGACTTAGGGCAGCTTTGATTTTTCTCCGTCAAGGGCTATAGGTAAATCGTAAAGTTGTAGAGTGAGGTAGGTATACAGGGTGGTGACTTGCGTAACGCATCATAGGGAATTCAATGTAAAATTCATAACATGCGATTATTGGCTCCCCAAATTATTTTAGAGCAAAAATGTATTAAGGTTTTTTTGTAGAAAAAATTTTTTTACGTCAATCAACCGTATTAGTTTTCAATTTTTTGCATAATAAAGACGGAAAATTGGAAAAATAAAACCCCCATCTTTTTCAATAATCTGTGATGCCATGGAATTTTATAATACAAAAACTACGCCAACATCCGTCATGCCATGGAATGTCTGCTATAAAACAAATCAAATTCTATCAAAAAGTATTATATTTAGAACAGCGAAATCATCATAAAGAAAGACCAAATTACTAAAAACGGTTTCCTAATATAACAATTTACAATAAATGTTCGAATAATAATTCACAATTAACTGCAAGACAGTAACCAAGTCGATCATAAAATTCATTTCGAACTGCTGCTAATTGATAACTGGATATCTTTTTGTTTTAGAAAATTCCATGGCATCGCAGATTATTGAAAAAGATGCGGGTTTTATTTTTCCAATTTTCCGTCTTTATTATGCAAAAAATTGAAAACTAATACGGTTGATTGACGTAAAAATTTTTTTCTACAAAAAACCTTAATACATTTGTGCTCTAAAATAATTTGGGGAGCCAATAATCGCATGTTATGAATTTTACATTGAAATCCCTATGATGCGTTACGCAAGTCACCACCCTGTATATCGGGTCAAGTTTTCTTGTTCTTATATCATTAATATAGCAAAATAATTTCTATACAGGGAACCAATTCAATTAAAAATTGAAAGTTCAGATTATTTAGGTAAAGAAAAGGATGATCAACCTTTAATTGCAAAAACTTATTGGTCGTGTCTAATTTTCATATTTAAAAACCTCGATTCAACTCTCAAATCGATAAAAAAACTTAATGAGAGACGTATTAACCCCTCCATTTGGCTCGGTATCAAGTCGCACACACTTACATGACATACCTAATACTGTACTTACCAACAAGATGCGCTACTGAATAGATGCCAGTAAAAAGGCTGTAATCAATTTCGCTCCAACTAAATTTTAATCTTGTGTACAAATAAAGTACTGTTTCTTCCCCTAACAATTTCAAATTGGTAAGTTTCTTAAAAAAATGTATAACATGGGAAATTGATCCCTATGGCCAGTAGGGAAAAATTTCCGTGTTACCAAGTGCTTCGTGAGTGAGCGCATAAAGTTTCCATCCATACAAAATGCACAAGAGGTAAATAATTAAGCTAATGGTTCACGATTGAATCAAATAACTGCAGCTACCTGATACATTTTAATTGAATTCATTTGAGTTCCTTTCCTTAGTGGTAAAAGGGGAAACTTTATGCTGCCTGCATGAAGAAAATTACCTTGACCTGGTCCCAGAACTAAAATAGCCAAAATTAGAATTAAATAAATCTGTTTCGATTGAGCTGCACGACGTCTATTCCACAAGAAGTTGAATGTGGTCAGAGTTTGTTTCACATTGACCATATCCTTCACACGTGCACATTTAGAAAGTGGTCCCGGCCGATTGCACGGCGCTTCATTAATTCCATAGTATGCATACAGTCCTCCTAATGCATACATTATTAAAGACGATACGAAGACACCATAAAATCCTATTAAAGTGTACACAATTCCGCTACAAGCATATCCTACTGTTGTGCTTATTCCGTATAAAATATGTATGACTCCAAGTCTAAACGTTCTGTCTTCTATACTACTGATGGAGGCAACGTAGGTGAATACACCAAGCAGTAACATATTGATACCTCCCGTAATCGCGGTGGGAAGCACTTCAACCACCGTGTTTACTTCCATCGGCAGTTCGTAAAAGAAAAAAGTACATAAAATAAAACCGACATTGGTAATTACTTCACCGGCCATAGGCAGGAGCATCAACACCTTTCGAGTATTATGCCGGTCACTCCAAGATCCCAACAAGGGTAGCAAGATCGCGGGGAAAACACTGAAGATAACATTTTTCCAAACGTATGCAGACGCAACAACCTTTTGCACAGCGATCTCGTCAACTTTATCGTAAGCGTCATCGATATGCTGATGGATCGCATCACATACCGAAGTGTTCAGGTTAAGATTCACGCGACAGGCCTTTTCTAAACTTAAATTTTGTATCGTTAACGCCGACATGGAATAAGGTAAACAAAAACATATCAAGAATGGTTCGACGGTTATGCCCCTTCTTAGTTTGTGGATTCGCTGACGAATAGTTCCTTTTCGTGGAGGTTTGCTTGCTTCTACTTCTAATTCCATATTGATTTCTGAAAAAAGGGACTAATAAAGGGTAAATTATTAGTATATGCAATGCAATATGGTACCGGCGCGCCGACCATCTTCCAGCCAATGATGTCAGTGAAGATCGAAAACAGAACAATGCTAAAAGATGCGTTTCATCATCTTGTAATATGTGGCATAATTGGTATTAAAAAAAGTTACTAACTACTTCCATACGTTCGGGTCACGGCCTTCAATCAGAATGGGAATTATTGGCCCCCCAGATGTACTCTGCACGGACCGACTATAGACTTTGATGTGAAACTGAAATTGGGCCCCCAAAGAGCTGTACTCTGCACCGACCGGCGACAAAGTTATGACAATGTGACTCTATGATGATTTCTAGTTCTTGGCTTAATTTATTTCTTCGAGATCCACCCGAAGGTATCCCCTTGTAAAATATGACCCAATAAGCGATTTCTCTTATACGATAAATGATATAAATATTTAACTAGATAATAAGATAACCTATAGCTATACCCTCCCTGCAATATGCTGACTTTACTTTGAACATATTGTATACATGTGCTATCTTGTGTGTGGACGTTTAAATTATTAAATATTATCAAATGATAAATCGCGTCGAGATCAAATTCGCAGTCGAATGTGTATGTACACAATACCAGTACCATATTTTGCATTGCATAATAAATAAAATTAGAAAGTGCTACTTACGTTCAAAATGTTAGTTCCGAAAGTGAATATTTTGTCATCAATTACAGAAGTCGTACTACACGAGATCGCACTAACGAAAAAAATCTTTATCAAATGAATATATTCTATCAGTGTCTAGATTCCACGTTTTGAAGGATATACGGAACTGTTCTGTTGCCATTTTTATTATACAACAAAGCTAGCATCAACAAAAATTCTTTAAGGAAGTCCGAATTAGTTGTTCATCTACTCTAGTCTTCAAAATGAACTATATAACAATTACAATTTCGTAATGGTTCGATTTGTGTTAAATAGTAAATGTATGTACAGTCTAGCGAGTGATAACCTTGGAGATAAGTACCATTGAATGTTGTTTAGTAGGTACTTACTACCTTTTCTACCTAGAAAATGTTTGTGTTATATAACTGCATAAAAATAGTAGGAAATATTAATTTATGTCAACAATTATAAATTAACAGACCGAGGTATTAGTCTAACGAGGAACAAGTTGCCTGAAGATGTAATGAGCTATTGCCAACACAGCAATAATTATCATTATCAATGTATACTATAAATATAGAAAATAAATAAGTAGTACCGTTGAGTAAACTGATTTCGTTATGGTTTGGTAATACATAACAAGAACAACACGCGTGATAAGATTATGATTCTTTATTACCTCTTATACAGTGTCATCGAAAAAGGTGGACTCGATTTTAATTTATTAAATTGTAACAGTATTAACGGATCGATTTCAACGAAACTAATGTTTTTTTCCGAATATTTTTAGAACCCTCTCAAAACCTCTAGAAAATCATGCGAACCATTAGAATCTTCAAAACCTTTAGATTCATTATAGATTAGAATTTCTACAGAACATTTCTTGGGAGGTTTGAAACCTTTAGACTCTTCAGAACTCTCAGAATTCTTATCTATAATCTTCGTAGAACTTTCTGTAATTTTCGTAGAATCATCTTCCTTGCAATTTAATATTGCGGGGACTATGAAGATCGAATTTTTTACGTCACGAAATTAGACGATACTATAATACAATACGACAAAATAATAAAAAATAAGTATACAAAAATAAAAATCTATAAAAAGTAAGGACATGTTTTATATCGTGCATTTGAAATAAGAATGACAGATGTCATTAAAATGCACACTCATCTGTTTCACTTTATCTACCCTTACGGTTATAAAATAAAGAAATTAAATTAGCCTTATGGACCGCCAATGGTTTAACTCTACACAGACAAGAAATAATACAATTTATCTCAAACCATTTACAGTTTATTCTACCCATCGCCCGCATAAAATTACAATTAAACATCATGCCCTAGACAATTATCAAGAGCACATACAGGCAGCCAGCATGTCAATAGACGATTGGCCCATTAACACTAACAGCTGTTGACTGCCCGCCAAAATATATATTAAAAAAGAACCGATTCGAGAAATTCCACAACACTTGGTCATCGATTCCTAGCTGGAGGAGATTAACGTTCAATTTTCAGCAAAATGAAGGTCAAATTAGCTGTGAGAGTGAATACTTAGGGTTTTACTATTGTAATCTTTATTACACAATCGATTATATACTTTATAATTTTATTTTGAATGTTACATAAACCCAAATTATGAAAACGAGGTTAGTACCTTACTTTGTGTGTGGAGGAATATAAATCACTATACTCAACCATTTTGTATTTTTGAATTTCATTATCGACAAGATCGATTAGTGATTTCCTATGTTAATGTATGTATGGGTCCGACGCAAGCAGCTTTTCTAGGTCAAAGGACAATAAAAAATTAATGTTATCCAAGCGAGAATAATAAGGTAAGTTTAAATATTTTTGTTCGATTAAGCTAATCGGTGATTTATTTTGGGTGTTCCAAATGTTTTTTATCAGGATCTACCATGCGTAAAAGGGTATAGTTAATTCATGCACGTCTACCTAATTATTATAAAAATCTATAAATCATTTGACCAATTTGTTCTGAGTTTTGATCAATATACAATTATAATTTGCTACTTAGGAGTTATTACTTGCTGGACAGTACAAAGTCAAAGAACCCCATTTGTAGTCAAATTTCAGCTAACGAACAGGAGATCTTTTGTGTAAGCCAGGAGAGTGAAAAGGTAGCATTTAATAGCTAACCGAAACACTAGCCAAAACGCTAGTCGGAGGCATAATTATTTTTATGATACAGTTTTCTGGTTGTTATTTTACATTTAATTAAAAAAAACAGACGCAATTGTCATTTACTTGCTGTTCGATAAACCTGTTTACATAATTAGTTCTCGATTATTATACATGGTCTGTACTCTGTTGTGTTTAATAATGAAGAAAATATGTAAAACTGAAAAGGATGATAGAAATATACCTACCTACCTGGAATGTATACTATTGGTGGTCTAACAACTATTTGCAATAACATTGAAATACAAATTGACACCAGAGATTAGTTTGGTTCAATTAAGCGGAATCGACTGTATTTAAGAAATGATATTCTTACAAGATGGCCGCTTCATAAAAAATAGTCATAATTCATAATCTCAATTTATTACATTTTATACTTCTGGGACAGACCATAACTAAGTTTATCATGTAGGTACGAAATGTAGGTAGCAAAAAAATGCAACAATTCTGAGGCATTAAAGGGAAGGCAAACCCTAGGGCCAACCTTAATTACATACTAGTTATGTATATAACTATTGCAAATTACCTAGTCATAATTAAAGAATCAAGAATAAAAATATTGTTTACTTTTCATAAAAACTGTTGTTCATATGAGTTTCAAAATTGTGCCAAGAATCGATTTGAAATAATTTCAATGTCACTTTTCTTTGAGGTATAACAATTTTATCTTGGGACGCAATTGTTTCACCTCCATTAACAATAGTAAAGTCACCATTTTTAAGACAGAACTGTCCCACTTAATTATCCTGAACGCAAGTGTCTTGGCACTTTAATTAATTGGCATAATTTACTTTGACACATTCAAATCAGGCGACTTTGGAAAAACTCTTTCACCCTTGAACTCACAAACCCAGGGGTTGTCGTTGGCCATATACAAGTAGCAATTAGAAATTTATGTATTGTACTATAAATATAAACCTAAATCCATTATTTGAAATCAGTATTTTGAACGCAATCTATACACTTAAAGTTTTATAAAATAATACATTATTTAAATACGAGGTCGTGGGAAACGATTTGAAGACAATTCAAAGCGTTGTTTCTTTGAGAATGTATCAAAAACATGCACCATGTTCATAAATGAAAATGTATCGTTCAGTGCAAATTTAGCTACAAACTCAAAACTAAGTTTGTGTTGTTACCAGCGCAATAAAGTAAAAAGTGTTGTATTTTGCACAACTATAGAGAGCATATTTTGTGTATAGTTTTAACTTTCGGTCAACATTTTGACTACTCCCAAACCAAGAACCATGAGTTGTGGGCAATGAAATATTATAAGTAATTTCATGACAGAGAAAGTACAAGGTGTAGGCATAGAAATTATTCCTCCCTACGAGCAACTGAATCACTGAATCAGTCTAGTGTGTTTTAGGTTTTCTCTAGATATGATGAGTGTTATTTTGAAAGTGGTTTTATGTTTTGGTATTTAACTTTCTATAGAAAGTTAAACATTCTACGGAACATTTATTCAGATGGGTAAGCTATTTGGTAACAAAACTTATTTATAAATTGTACGCTATAAATTAAATAGTCAGCGGTACTAAGGTACTTTTTTTATAAAGTAGTAGGTACCATTGTTTAAATACTTTGCCATGTACATATAGGTAGGTACACAAAGTCGATATACAAAGAAGCATCGTACTAGCTTTCCTTTTAGCATTACAAGAAATTGTACTGCGAGGCGTCGGATTTTGTCTTATCTAAGTGAAAGTTGAATGTTCTAACGCGTTTATTTCAATAAGAACATAATTTGTACCAAACCAGTTTTCCAACTAAACGACTCTTCTATAATGAGAAAGCGTACGTTAAAGAGTATAGGTACAGTCCTGGTACAATTGAAAATATCTATTTTTGCGGAATTTAGTATGTTAATTACCTGCCTATTTAGAATGAAGGTCAGTTTAACTTTGCGAATATGCTCAAGGCAGATTATAAATAAAAGTGTACGAAAGGTGTCTGTGAATAAAATGATCACATCCGATTATCCAAGATAGGCATAGGTATTGCCTGCATTCTTGGACTTTCTTCGTTTTGGAGTGGAAGACCGTGAGTCAACATCATTAGTCGTTATCTATGCACAACAACAATGTTATTACTTATTACTAGTATACACATGAAGTATCAGCCATCAGTTCAACTAAATATCTTTTCAGGAATATGGAACTGCAAGTGGGTGCTCAGAAGTTTTCGAAAATATCTGCCATAAAGGATACAATTTGCAAAATATGGAATGGGATTTCTGTCGAACCGGTGTTAATCTTGTTTGCGTTACCATTTTGGATGTCTTCACTTACAATTCAAAATTTAAGTTTGGAAAAAGCGTGCCGGGTCAATCTCAATATGGAACTGTCTACGTGCGATGCAATTGAAAGACATAATACTACGGGTTATAATGACACGGACGAAATCACCGTGCACAAAGTCGTTGCCTCGGCATACGTTTGGAAAAACATTATTCAGAGCGTATTTCCCGCAATTTTACTACCACTATTTGGATCTTGGAGTGACCGACAGAAAACTATGAAAGTGCTGATGATACTACCTATTATTGGGGAAATTGTGATGAACATTGGACTAATACTATGTACATTCTTTTTCTACGAATTGCCCATGGAAGTCAATGTGTTGGTTGAGGTTCTTCCGACTGCTATTACGGGAGGCTCAAACATGATACTGCTCGGTGTATTTACATACGTCACGTCGGTTTGTGACACCAAAAACCGAACACTAAGAATTGGAATTATTCATACCACATGGTTTGTATGTATAACAATAGGAAATTCATTAAGTGGAGTGATGTACAAATTAATTGGATTTTATGGAATCTTCGCATTATCTCTGGTTGGTTACGCGTTGGCAGGACTTTATGCGCACTTTTTGGTCAGTGAAATCTCGTCCGGTGACGAAAAGCAATTGACGACGGTTCAACATATAAAAGATATTTTAAATGTTAAGCAAACCATGTACAGTTTCAAGTTCTTAGTAACAGCAAAACAGAGTGGTCGACTAAAACAGATTTTGACGATAATGATTTTAGCTGTGCTGGTGCTAGGACCCTTTGCGGGTAAGTTAGTACCTACAGTCGGCACTTTCTATTTAATTGGAAGACATGGTCTAAAGCAGTTGCGCATGCGGTTCTATAAGTGTGTTATTTTTTGTAATTTCTAGGAGAATCGGCTGTGAGGTATTTATATGTACGATTTAAGTTTGGTTGGGGAGAAATCGACTTTAGTATCTTCACTACTTATTGCTGCATTGTTGCGT